CAAAGCTCCATTAATAATAATTCAAATGAGTAAACAAGGAATCTTTCTTTCCCCACAAAAATACTGACCTTCCATGAAATATTTAATATCATGAATTTTAGCCTTCTTTTATACTTAACCTCTGTCCACTACATTTTGTGAACTAACAACTTAATGACACTGATAGAGGTTATGGTAGCAAATTAATAATGATTGTCAGAAATGATACATAATAGTTTTCAATAATATGCATCCGATGCTTCTGAATGTGTAAGAATTTTACTAGGTTTTCTAAAACGTATAAGAAAAACAGCAGAGACCCTTTTCAAGATCACCATCTAGTGTGAGGAATTATACATTTTTACATTAAAAAGTTCAATTACAACATGGTCTTTAAAAAAGATGATAAGACAACAACATTAGGTAATTAGGGGGGGGGAGTGAATGACCAAGCCGATGAGTATAAGCAACTGAGGAGAGAAAGAATATATTGTTGTTACCAATGCCATTTAGATTAACCTTAGTAATGATAGCGTAAATGCTAGATTCTACATCCATGTAATTGCATACACAATATCTCCTTTCAATGAACAGAAAATGCACACAGCAGAGTTTAAAATTTGCCATCTGTGAAAACGGAGCTCACAGAGGTTATGTCATATTTCACCACAACAATAAAAGCAGAGAATTAAAAACAAAACAATTTGGAAACATAATAAATAGATAATCACAATATCTACTAGCAAATTCTTAAAACTGAATAAACTGTTGTTGGGTATTTTTTTAAAGACAGGTTATACATTGTGACACAATCTAATTCTGGTGATGGAGGAACAAAATCCTGTATATAGCTTTGTCTCCCCAATTGGTTCTGTGTCTTTTTAAATACAGCACTAGGAAGGGTCACCTTTGCTTTTCAAGAGAATAATTTGCCTGTCTTAGACTGGCCCGTGACTAAAATTTAACAGTGGGATGGAGAAGGAGTGAACAAATAGCATTTAGAGCTGCATTTTCAGTCTTTTGCTAATCTACTTACAAAATACACCTAAAAGGAAAATCAAATCTGAAACGCTAGTTTGTTTGGCACTGGACCACTGCAGTGTTGCCACTATATAGCCCTCAGGGTAATAAGAGGGACTCGGGTACATTTAAAAGTGAATGCTGCCCTGGGACATTAAGCTTCTGGCTTCCCATTGCTTAATTAAATCGCACAAACTACAAGTGACACTTATTTTCAGCTTTACTCTTTCGCAATATTAAA